CCGCATACAGGAAAGAAGAAGAATTCTTCTGGATTGTTATTCTCTTCCATCTCGAACTCATGGCTTGGGTTTAGGAGGGGGTGGGGGATGGGGGTTGCTTTGAGGAGGAGATACGAGATGCTAGTGTTGTATTTTGAATTGTATCCTTTGGCTGGACGTCTTATTTTCGTTAACTATTAATCCCACTCTCTTTCTCTCTGTTTCTCTCTCTCTCTCTCTCTCTCTCTCTCTCTCTCTCTCTCTCTCTCTCTCTCTCTCTCTCTCTCTCTCTCAAAATATCCCTTTTCAGTGAGATAATTTCAATTTTATCAACTGAATATGGAAAGTGATTAAAAATTAGCAGACCCTTTGAGTGTCTCGACTAAATTTAGAAGTTCATAAATTTTCTTATTATCACATGAATCGGTTGCTGTGTTGAACGTTATATAGATCTAAGTATTCTAGCTGAAGATTCAACCATGTGTATTTTTCTTTCTACAGCTTGAAAATAACAGGTTTAATGTGATCAAGTCTGATCTGAATGGCATAGGAATCTGCCCATATGACCCTTACGACAATACCACAGTGATATTTGTGGGTGAGTGAAAAAAAAAGGAATTCATGTAAAATGTGTTTTCAAGACGTAATTCAAAGATTTTTTAAAACTGGAGTGGCCTTTTTTAATGCTTACGCTGGATGAGATTAATAAGATATATTTTTATTGATATGCAATGAACTGCTAAGAATTGATACAGAATAGTTGTCATAATAGTCAACAACAGCAAGCAGACATATCATTGGTTCTGCTTTGAAAGCTCTAAGTTATGTTTAAACTATTTCTCCATGATTTGAGGAGGGTGCCTACCTCATTAAGAATGCACCATTTGTGTTATTTTGTGCATTTGTTGGCATAATGTTAGTGCACAAAAATATGACTTTTTACATCTTTGTTTTATTTTTTGCTTTTGTTTTTTCTTTCTGTCAAAAAAGTCTGTACCCACTGCACCGTGCTGTTAAATTATCCATCTTATGTATGATATGAGGGGAGCAAAAAGTTTTTGAGAAGTATTTGACAAGTTTTTGGTTTTGTTTTTGCTATAATTTTGCTATTTGACTAAATTCTGGATCATGTTTGCAGAGAATGGAGCACCTGGCAATATACCTGCTCTCTTCGCCGCGTCTGTGACGGACTCCATCAAGTCTGACCCCATCATTGTGCGGCCGTCAGTGTACAGTCCGGATGGCTCTTTAGTAGCTGACTACGTCCGCACTATCAGAGCCAAGAACGACTGGCTTAATGGTGAGGACTACTACTTATTGTTTGAAATCAGTGTTTGAGTTGATTGTCGTTTTTACTGTTAAGTAATTATGGGGAATTTGCAGGATAATAGGCACGTTTTGTCAGAAGGAGATCAGGATAATAGTGAGATGGAAAACATGTACAAGGTGCATACCTGTTTCCACCAGGCTGCTATGTGAGAACAGATAGACTAGTGGCATTAATTTTAGGACAAGAACTTAATGGAGACAAACGGTAAGCTGACATTACTTTGGTGGATCAGCATTAAAATCCATATTTCATGCAAGAACATTCATGTCATGTGATTGGGAATACAGATAATGTAAACATTTTCCTTTGCTCTTTTCTTTTATCCTTTGATTTCCTTTTAGTTGCTTTCTGATATATTGGCTTTGAAAACATTGTCATTGTCATTTGCATTGTTTGAAGTAAGTTCTAGTTGTAAGACTTACATATATTCTGCAACTTGTTCAATGTCTGCCTTGCCACTCACTATGTAAATAATAGGCTACTGTCTATGTTGTGAGTAGAAACCATATCTGGTAAAGAAAACATCTTTATCTGAAGGACTTGTTTTAAACTAATCTTTTTTTTTTTGCTGTTGCTTCTTTAGAACCCCAGTTTGTTGGATCGTTTGATGTCGGTGACCATGTGTACTTCTTCTACCGGGAAGTAGCTTTGGAGTACACTAACTGTGGCAAGAAAATATACTCTCGTCTTGCCAGAGTTTGCAAGGTAGGACGCTTATTTTGAACAACAATCGCCTGTCATATTTGGCCAATACATTGCCTTTTTGCCTTTCCTCAGGCACAATTAGATCATCAGCTGATACTTTGAAACTTCTTACATCAAGAATTGAATTCTGTGTGTGGGTCAAAGACATTGAATGTTCTATGGCTCTGAAATCTGTATTAACTCTCTGTCAAGATGTCAGAGAAACAGAACCTTTCAAACTGTTCACCTGACAAGATACTTTTTTGGAAAAATGACTGTTCTTATGTGGTGGTATTTCTCCATTAGTATTAGTTGTGTGGTTATTTTTACTTCGTGTTAGAAAATGTTCAGCTTTTTTATGATATTCCTGTGGATTACAGTATTTTACTTTTCTATTTTACTTCTTGCAGCTTCTTTTAATCAGTTGAAAGTTTCAGCATGCTCCTGGTTAAAATAATGGCCTTCCTTTACTGTCTTGCTTCTTGCATATTTCCTGGACAACTCATCCAAACACCTGGAAGTTTGTCATTCTGATAAAATGAATTTTTCAACTGTTGTTCTTTTCTTTTTCAGAATGATTATGGAGGAAGCAGGCACCTCCTTCAGAACATCTGGACTTCGTTTGTGAAAGCTCGTCTCAACTGCTCCATTCCTGGGGAGTATCCCTACTACTTTGATGAAATACGTAAGTTAACTTTTTTTCAAGAATGATTTAATATAACTTTAGTTGATGGACCCATCAAATATTTTGAAAATTTGTCTCCATGTTTGTTAGAGCATTTTAGAATAAAAATGTGTCTAGTTTTATTTTATTAAAACTTTCCTTCTAAATTATGATAAACAGTGCCTGGTGTTTATACGAATTGCATGCATAGGCTGAGTTATGTTTTTCAGATTTTCAAAGTTTTGGTTTTCATGTTTCTTTTTGTCAGAGGTTTGAGTGCCATGATACTTTCTTTGTTTTGCTTGCATTCCAAAAAAATTATGTTTTTTTTTTTTTCTTTTCAGAGGATGTATACAGAGTTGGAGATATGTTCTACGGCCTCTTTACTACAAATATGTAAGCAATAGTGCAGTTGTCTTTTGTTTTCCCAGCATACCTGTTCACAATACTACAATCGTCCGACAAGATCAATAATATATATCTTAATAACCTGCAACTTGATAAGTAGGTTGCATATGACTAATAAATTAGAAACATCTGGGCTGTTTTAAAAGTAACCTACACTATACAGAAAATGTCTTGTTGAGTACTGTCAGGCATGGATAACTTGAACTCATTGGGGATTGACAAATGTATTTGACACATTAATAATTTAGGTTAACCGATAACGGAAAATTAAAGAGACATCAGTTAGGGAATAGCAAATTTTATTACCTATCCGTGATTTCAAGTTTTCCGTGTTCATGTTGTCTGTGCCTGACTGTACTTATGTTTGAATAATTTTGTTTCTCTGTAATTTGTTTTGTACCCAAATCTTTGTCGATTTGTAACTACAAATTCAGGTACGCACATGTGATCTCCCAAGCTAATAATAGCAGATCCAACTGCAAGTGTGAAGATTCTAATCTTACGTGTTTTTCTGTGACAGCAATGGCCTGACAGCTTCTGCCATCTGTGGCTTCACAATCCACGACATCGACCAAACATTCTTCAATGGCTCATTCAAGGAACAGCGAGACCTGCAGTCCATCTGGCTGCCTGTGCCTGAGGTAGAGGTGCCCAGCCCTCGACCAGGAGATGTGAGTTTTGGAGGATTTTCTTAGGACTCTCACCTGAAAACAATTCATTTATACTGACTGATTTGTGCCATACGCCATTTTGAAAATTGACGTATTATGGAATCTTACATTGAGCAGGCGATATGTTCCGGAAATTGTACTCGGGGTTTCGGAAATGACAGTCACCCCACTGTTTGTTGAGAGAGACATCCATCTTAATATTAAAATTGATATCACTCCTGCAACAACCTCGGTCGTTTGTGAGGCGTGCTGACAAAATGAGCAACTCGCAATCTACAAATGGAAATATTGGCCAAACATCGACACTAGGGGTCAAATTTGTAGATTTTCTATTGATGCCACATTTTTTAACCCCATCCGTACATCATGTTTTACTATTGTATCCATACGACATAGGAAACTCTGTGCCTCCACTTTCCAAAGAGGAAATTTACTCGTTAATCCGATCCGTACGCTTTGCATAGCATTCTGTCAAAATGTTTTTTTGAGAAATACTGAAAATTTCAAAGAGGACTTTGCACTAGAAGTATTCTAAAATGTGAAGAATACAACCCGGGGGGGGGTACAAAATTACCCCAGGGCATACGGATAGGGTTAAGTATAATGAGTCTTTTGTTATTTCATACCTATAAATTGTAAAAACTTCACCTATATGCTTGACATATCTGTTTCCATAGGTCTCAAATCTGAGAAGTAACTCATTTTGTCAGCACCCTTCACATATATATCTATGGCCCTTTTCACATGCTACTTGAATATGATTACCTTTGTGACCCGAAGCTCGGCTAGGAAGTGTGTTTCTTTAATTAAATAAGCTGAGATTGATTATTTGCAAAACAAAATGCTTTGATGCGTCATGTAATTTTTTATTTCCTCAGTGCAAAACGGCTGGTGCCAGAAGCAAGACTGGGGACTTGCCCTACAAGTTCACCAACTTTGTGTCCAGGTCAAGCATGTTAATGGACCGCGCTATTCCTCACCGGTTTAAAAAGCCCATCTTCTACCAGAGCAACTGTCTCATGCAGAAGCTGGTGGTGGTACAGAATGTGGCTGGACATGGAGAGCTTGTCTTTGTCACTGCTTCAAGTGAGTTGTACTTGCTACAGACTTATGAATATAGGTGGTTGTTGGGTGCTGTGGTATGGTTTGATCCATCTTTCCTATCAAATATCTATCATCTTTATCACTCCTCTTTTTTTGTGTATGTTACTCTCTTGTAACACCTCTAACCTTTAGCACTTACATAACCTATTTGTGTTGCAAGTGCCATAAAACTCTTACTAAAGCTAAGCTTATAAATCTATAAATATTACATATGTTTTTTGCTCGAGTAAAGAGAAGCACTTTGACATGAAAACAGCCATTTAGTGCAGGGAAAAAGCAAGACAGACGAGACAGGAATTAGGAAAGGTAAGAGGGAGAAGTAGGACATACCAGTGGTGCCCTCCAACCACCTTGCCGATGTTTTCTGTGGAGATGAAAGGGATTACTAGTTTTTACAAGGAGCTAAAACTGAAGGATAAGAAATTAACTAAAAGTCAAAATTTAGTTTTTAGTTTTAGTAGAGGTTTTACGGCGCTCCCAACTGAATAAGGTCATATGAGCGCCATAAAAGTCAAATTGTTAGTACCAATTGACATTCTAGAAGTTTTTAAAGGTATAGCTCTTTGTACCTTACCAATGCCACCCCACACAGCGGAGAGGAAAAAATGTTCCAAAAAGGATGAGAAACATTCTAACTCTACTATGATGAGAATCATGAACCTCTGCATGATAGCGATAAGACTATTATGTTATTATTCATTTGGTTGGCCATTTCATATAACCAAAATCAAAGTGATGTACAAGAGGAAGAGGAAGAAATGAATTAGGAGATTTCAGTGAAAACCTTCAACCATTCATGGAATATGCTAAATTTATACTTTCTAATCTGTTTCAGATGATGGTGTTATCTACAAGATTGCTGCTTGGCCTGGTTTGACCACCCTTGATGCTCCAAAGACCTACATGGTTTCTCACTACATCCCCTTCAGTGACAGTTTGCCTATCTGGAGCCTCACCTTATACGTAAGAGTCATGTGCACATTTTTGTTAGTTTTGAAGTCACCGTTTTGTCTAAACCAGGGATGCAAAAAATCTCCTTCAACTATTGTTGCTGTTTTTGGTGTTGTTTTTGTTGTAGTTGTGATCAATCCTGCTGCTATGGTTTTCAAGGTGAGGGATGAGCTCTTTTTCATCTCCTTGTAGACATGATATTTCAAACTTACAGCTAAAGAGCCCACACATGATCTAATTTATTGAGTAGTAGTAGATAATTGGATGATTATTTACAATTTCATCTTGTCTCCAATTTCTGGGCTCAGTTTTTTTGTTTTTGTAATTATCATGAATATGTTGTTTTTTTCTGTGCTTGATGTGCTCCATTTTCTATTTCCGTAGAAAAATTGGATCTATTTTGGAACCGACTGGACTGTAGGTCAGATTCACTTGGAGACATGTGGAAAATACAAAAAGATTGACCTCTGCATCTATGATCCTTACTGTGGCTGGGACACATTGCTCAACGAATGTCGCTCCAATGAAAGGAAAAAGTAAGAAACAGAAAATTTTGTATTTCTTGGTCTACAGTTTTGTCTCATCATAAGGCTTAACTTTGACGTTGAATTGTCATTTAGATGTTTCCATTTCTCTTTGAAAGCCAATTTGTTAAATATTTCCAAATGGGAACTAAACAGTTTGGTCTTGATTGCTGTTAGTGTGTGAAATAATTTCTATGGAATGCTTTTTTTTACTGAAGGACAAATAAAGAGATTGATTGTTTTCATAAAATAACACTTTTTAAAACTGAAAATACAGATTATGTATCTTTTAAATTCCTGGCCAATAACTTCTGTTCTACATCAAGGGCTCAAGTCACGCCTCAGCATATTCCTCAGAGACCCTTTCACCCTACCGCACTCTGAATGCATATTTCAGTGTGAAGGTTTGCACCTACGAGGAGTTCAAATGCATGGATCCTATTGGCTGAAAGGGCCTAGGTTCAAAGCTTTAATTGACAAAGATATTCCTATCACAAAGAGTTTAATTTTTTTCTTTTTTTTTTCTTTGCACATTCAGGTCAATCCACAAGCCTAGATCTATATCATTTGTTTTATTTTCATCTTATCTGTAATTTATTTTACTTGTTTTTACAATTTGTAAACTGTTAATGTGTATAAGTTCCCCTTTTTCAACATATCCACAGTCTGATCAACTATGCCAACATTGATCTCCTGTCATATTCCTTGGAGGAGGCTATCAGGAAGCAAGTGGGAGATTTGTACTGTGAGTAACTCTCTAGGTGTAACTGTCAGACAATGTGTTTTCATATTGTATCAGTTGCTCTTACTTTCTCTCCACAGACTAGTGTTATATAGCACAAAAACGATCCATATTCTATCTACGTAATTAAGTTAGAGTTAAGCTGAAGAGAAGGACCAAAATGAGATCTTATTGAAGTAATTTTTATTGTGCTTATTTTGAACCGCCTGTGGTTTCATTTGCTGATGTTAGGGCAAGCTAATACCCTGTATTTGATCTTTTAAAGTTTTTGATGGACTTGTATTCTGAATATTGACCGACAAAATTTTTCTACTCCGCAGACTTTGAGAAAATGTCCAAAATCTCTGGAAGTTCAGTGACTCTTAAGATTGAGTACAGACTTCACATCAGTGGCACTGTGCATTGGAAACGTAATGGCACCTTAGTGAGCAGTGATCGTCATATTCTGGCCCAGGATAACTCTTTGATAGTGACAGATCTGAGAAAGTCTGACGAGGGCCTCTACTCCGCTGTTGATCAGCTGGGTAGGACAGTGGCCGAATACTCCTTGGCTGTGGAAACAAGTAAGTGTGCCACTATTCAGAATCAAGTAGGTCTAATTTAGTTGATGAGTGTGGGTGATGAGTACTTTGTTGTGCTGTGCACTTTCTTCTTTTTGTTTGATCCTTCTGTTGTCCAAGAGAGAAGTGCACAAGCTGTGCACTTTCACAAGTGGAAATTGTTTTTAAGATTTCGCTTAAAAAATTCTCCTCTGCCGATTGGTCGTCATCAGCAGATATTGACATACAAATTATCATTATTATTATTATTATTA